CCCAATCTGACCACTGCTTCCAGGACCTGTGAAGAGCCAGCTTCCAGTGGGGCCCACATCTGGCCTGATGACATTACCAAGTGGCCGGTGAGTTGGAGATGCATGGAGAGGGTTGCAGGATGAGGGTGGGGACAGCTGGTTTTCTGTCATGAGACCCACTGCCATCGGTCCCCTCTCTCTTAGATCTGCACAGAGCAGGCCCAGAGCAACCACACAGGCTTGTTGCACATAGACTGTAAGATCAAAGGCCGCCCCTGCTGCATTGGCACCAAGGGCAGGTGAGCCGGTGCACCCACCCCCCGCAGGCTGAGGGACCTCCGTAACTGTCTTCTGTTCTCTGCCCCTGGGTGATGGGGGAGGCAGAGACGGAGGGGCAGTGAGGTAGAAGGGAACTTGCTCTGTCCTGCCTGCCGTGCCCAGGTGCTGGGCTCTAGCCTAAGCAGGAATGCTGATGCCAGCTGCTTCCTGTCCACAGCTGTGAGATCACCACTCGGGAGTATTGTGAGTTCATGCATGGCTATTTCCATGAAGAGGCAACACTCTGTTCCCAGGTAGGCAAAGGCTGTCTGCATAGCAGAAGCTGTAGGGACTCCGAGGACCACTGGGGTCTTTACCATTTGGAAGCCTGACTTGGCTTGCCTCCCAGGGCAGAGCTAATGGCCCTGTGTCTCCTACCCAGGTGCACTGTTTGGACAAGGTGTGTGGGCTCCTACCGTTCCTCAACCCTGAGGTCCCTGACCAGTTCTACCGGATCTGGCTCTCTCTGTTCCTGCATGCTGGGTAAGCCCTGTGCCCAGACTCCTGTGCACTCCCTCTTAGATGCTGGAGAGAGGGCTTCCGGGCCCAGCACACTGGCTCAACCTGCTAGGGCGTGGCTGCACCTGTGCTAGCCTGCTGGTGGCCATGGGCACACAGGGTGGCTGATGATGCTCTTGTTTCTGCCCCAGCATAGTGCACTGCCTTGTGTCTGTGGTCTTCCAAATGACCATCCTAAGGGACCTAGAGAAGCTGGCCGGCTGGCACCGCATCTCCATCATCTTCATCCTTAGTGGCATTACAGGCAACCTGGCCAGCGCCATCTTCCTCCCCTACAGGGCAGAGGTACAAACTTGGGAGACAAGGGCAGAATGGGTAGGATGAACCCTTCCTTTTGGATCTAAAGCATTATGCCATGTGGGGAGGACCACTGGCATATAAGGAGGACCACTGTAGCATGTGGGGAAGGACCACTGTGGTATGTGGGGAGGATCATTGTGGTTTGTACGGAGGACCATTGTGATATGTGGGGAGGACCACTGTGGTATGTGGGGAGGACCACTGTGGCATGTGAGGAAGACCACCGTGGCATGTGAGGAAGACCACCGTGGCATGCGAGGAAAACCATTATGATATATAGGGAGGACCACTGTGGCATGTGGGGAGGACCACTGTGGCATGTGGGGAGGATCAACTCTGCTGCTTCCTGGTCTGGTCCCACCCTAGGCTCTGCAACAAGGGCACAGAGTCCCTATTGTGTCAAACTTACCTACAGATGGGAGCTAAGCCGGGACCTATTGATTGGTCTCTTAATTCATGGCAGGAGGGACAGGGATACTCCTGAGTCCCCAGGGATCCTTGCTTCTTATTCTATGAAACTCCCCATGCGGCTGCTGTCCGCCCTCAGGAGGAGAGGTCTTAATTCTGTTGTTCCTTCTAACCTGTGATCTCTCCACTTCCTGTGGTCTCCAAGGACAGGCTGGCTTGTGCTAAGCACAGGGGTGCCACACCCAGGTTTGCTGCAGGGTTGGACAGAGTGAGCCCAGGAGCTCCTGTGGCATCCTGAGTGGGAGATGTGTCCCACAGCTGGTACCTGGCACCCAGAGTCAGTGTGCCACGTCTCTCCTCCCTGACCCCAGGTGGGCCCAGCCGGGTCACAGTTTGGCCTCCTTGCCTGCCTCTTCGTGGAGCTGTTCCAAAGCTGGCAGCTGCTGGAGCGACCATGGAAGGCCTTCTTCAACCTGTCGGCCATTGTGCTTTTCCTCTTCATCTGTGGCCTCCTGCCCTGGATAGACAACATTGCCCACATCTTCGGTTTCCTCAGTGGTATGCTTCTGGCCTTCGCCTTCCTACCCTACATCACCTTCGGTACCAGCGATAAGTACCGCAAGCGAGCGCTCATCCTGGTGTCGCTGCTGGTCTTCGCCGGGCTCTTTGCCTCCCTGGTGCTGTGGCTGTATATTTACCCCATCAACTGGCCCTGGATCGAGTACCTCACCTGCTTCCCCTTCACCAGTCGGTTCTGTGAGAAGTACGAGCTAGACCAGGTGCTACACTAACTGTGCAGAGGTCGCGTCTGCTCCGGGCCGTGTGGACCAATGGGGCCCTGAGCCCAGCAGCTCACTCCATAGACAAGACTGACTCCAGATGAGACCGGTAGTAAAGGCAGGCTCCTCAGAGAGATGACACCTCCCTTTCTCAGGTCTGAGTGTCCCTGACTCAAGTCTGGGGACATCCAGAACACCCGCTTCTCTTGAGGCTCAGGTCTCAGGCCTTGCCTCTCTGGCCCTATAGGGATGATAACTTTTCTTCTCAGGGCTTGGGCCTCTGGTCTCTGTGGGTGCTGTTTGTTTTCCCCACTGTCACTGTGACTGTGACCTCACCAGACACACAGCTGCTCCCTCAGTTGTCCCCAGGGTTGAGGTCCTTATCATGCTGCTATGAGCCCCTTTTCCTGTTTCTCCTGTCTTCCCTGTCCTTCAAGCCCTTCCTGTATTTGTCTGTGGACTCATGAGCCTGCTCCTGAGGCTCCTGGAAATAGCATTGTGGGGAAGGCGCTGGCTGTTGTCTACAGGGGATGACAAGCGAGGAGAGGTGGCCGTACAGGGATGCTAAGGGCGTTTGTTAAGCAATGAAGCCAGATATCCTTAGCCTATCCGCTGCCCTAGCTCCAGTGTGTTTGGCTACACAGGTTGGCTCTGATGCCAGGATGTCCCTACCCCCTCTCCTCACTCCTGTGTGGCCATGGGCTGAGCCTCCCTGAGGACTAACTCCCCGGGGGAAGCCTGAGGCTCAATCAGGCCTGGTGTTCTGTTTGTTTTCCCAATTTATATTATGGTCCTAATTTTGTAAAGTAACGCTAACTTTGTACGGATGATGTCTCGAGTTTATTAAATGACATTCTTTATCAAAATACTGCTTTTAGCCTCAGACTCCAGGAGAAGGAAAGCTAGAACTTGGGACTACAGAGATGGGTCACTTCCTGTCTTTATAGAGAACCTGGGTTCAGTTCCTAGCACCATGTCAGGTGGCTCACAGTTACTGCAACTCCAGCTCCAGGGGATCTAGTGCTCTCTTCTGGCCTCTGTGAGCATCCGCCCCCTCTCACACACACATACACATAAATAAAAATGAATATTTAAAAAACTGGGTGCATGCCTTTAAGCCCAGCACTAGAGAGGCAGAAGCAGGTGGATCTCTGGAGCCCAGCCTGGTCTACAGAGTAAATTCCAGGCCAACCAGGGCTACACAGGAAAAACCTTGTCTCAAAACCAGACAGACAAAAACCTAACTGAACAAAAGCCACATGGGGACTGGAGAGATTAAAGCACTGCTCCTTCAGAGGACCTGGGTTCGGTTCCTTGGGCTCATGATACAGTTCTCAACCGCCTGTAATTACAGTTCCAGAAGATTCAACTCCACCTGGCCTCCACAGACACTTGCATGGATGTGTGACACACGGACATACTTTTAAAAATATTTTTAATTTTAAAAGAAAGCATGGTGATACATGCCTTTAACCCCAGTACTTGAGAAGCAGAGACAGACAGAGCGCTGAGTTGAAGGCCAGCCTGAGCTACAGAGTGAGTCCCAGGCCAGCCTGAACTATAGATTGAGACCCTTTATCCAATATATATATATGTGCGTGTGCATGTGCGTGTGTGTGCGTGTGCGTGTGTGTGTATGTATGTATGTATGTATGTCTGGGTTGTTTTTTTTTTTCAGAGATAGAGTTTCTTTGTGTGGCCCTGGCTGGCCTAGAACGTAAGAGATCTGCCTGCCTCTGCCTCCCATGTGCTGGAATTAAAGGTGTGTGCCACCACTGCATGACCAAAACAATGTTTGTATTTGAAAGAAAAAAAACAAAAACAAAAACTTCTGGCTGTGAAGTCAGCAGCCATGAGGCTGGGGCAGACTGAACACTCAGGATCTCTACCGTTTAGTTGAACCAGAAACCAGATTGAGGTCTTAACGGAGCCCCCAAGGACCCTGAGAGAACTGGGTTACATGTAGGGCCCCGAGACCTCAACCCCAGCTACTCCGCTTTTGCTCCAGAGCTGTCGGGCTGACCGCCAGCAGGGATGGCCTATTCTGGCAGAGGTGATCCAGCAGGGCGAGGCCAGGTGTTTGTTTGCTCCAATCAAATCAAAGAAGACCCTGCACACACCCATGAGCCACACCCACTGTGGACATAGCTGCTTTATTCGTGGGCAGAGGTGCCGGGGGACCAGGATAGAAGGGGAACCCGGATAGAAGGGGAACCCAGGGGGGCAGGTGGGTGTGCCAGTACATTGGTGCCCAAGTACAGTTTAGTGTGGCTCGGCAGCACGTCCCTACCCCAAGGATGCCACCATGCACAAGTTCCCCGGCTCCTGGCTGCCCCTCATTCCAAGCATTAGGGCACTGCCCTGGAGCACAGAAACAGAGCAGCCAGAGGAGGAAGTGTGGGGACAGACCTCCTGCTGTTCCTGTTCCCCACCCCCGTCCTGGTCTTGCTTTTGTGCACAGTTCAGAAGGCACGAGGTCCTCTGGGGACAGCCAGCAGCCTGTGCTGAAAGGAAGCCACCTCCTGTCCTCTTTATTGACCCTTACCTCTCTACTCCAGTTGGGAACTGCTGTTTCCCTTCATGCTAGCCAGGTCTAGTTGCATGGGCTCTAGGCAGAGAAGACTGTGACACGGGAGGTGGACAGGAGCCCCCGAGCTGCTGTTCCCACCCTCGCCATGGCCAAGTGCGCAGCTTGGGTCAGCAGCCACTGTTCCTGCGCAGGAAGGCGTGGCACCGTAAGGAACACTGTAGCTCCGTGAAGGTGAGAGGTCCCGCGGTGATGGCACATGGTCCCATAGCCTGGAAGCCAAATTTCTCATAGAAGGGTACCAGGGCATCCTCACACATGAGCACGGCCCGGCGCACCGCCGGCTGACTGCCCAGGTGATGAAGGTATCTCCACAGCAGGACAGAGCCCTTGCCCTGCTGCCGGAAGGTCCGGTGCACTGCCAGTACGTGCAGGTGGGCTGTGTGCCCTCCGGGCCTGTGTAGTGTCAGCGACTCCTGGGAACAGGCGAGGGACAGATGTCTGGGTTATTTCTGCTGATACCTGCTCCTCCAAACCCAACCAGACCAAAAAGAGGGGTGTCCAGAGCACTCGGAGTATCCAGGGCTCCCTTCTTACCAGATAGGACCCCAACTGCTACCCACATCTACAGTCCTACAGTTCGAGACTCTAAAGCAGCAATTCTTAACCTCCGGGCTGTGACCCCTTTGGAGGACAAATGACCGTTTCATAGGGGGTCTCCTAAGACCAGCAGAAAACACAGATATTTACATGACGGTTTATAGCGATAGCAAAATTATAGTTGTGAAGTAGCAATGAAAATGATTTTATGGTTGAGGGCTGCCACAGCATGAGGAAGTGTGTTAAAAGGCCGTAGCGTTAGGAAGGTTGAGAAGCACTGCTCTAAAGGGACGGGCAGGGGGCTCTTGCCTTGGGAGGGGTCTTGTTGCTCGGACTCACGCTTTTGCTTCTGAAGGAGACTTCCATCTCTGAGGAGCTCTCCCTGCCCTCACCTGAGTAAGTCTCTCCTTGTCCCAGAGTGAGCCGATGATGAAGGCCACAAGGCAGCCCTCCTCAAACCAGCCCAGTGACAGCTCTGGACACAGGGTTAGGAAGTGCCGGATCTCATCCAAGTACAGGGGACAGGTACCCGAGACAGAGATAAAGGCTGCAGCAGAAGGTAAGGGTGAGGGGCTGCTTGCTATGCACTTGCCTGGGGTTTGTGTACAGAAGAGGTCACTTGGATGATCCTGCCCTGGCTAGGGACTCTGGGCTGTTGCTTCCTACTCTAGAGCACACCTCCCTCCCTCCCTCCCCCCCCCCCCCCCCCCCCCCCCCCCCCCCCCCCTCCCTCCCTCCCCCATCTCCCTTCACCCCCCCCCTCTGTGTGTGTGTGTGTGTGTGTGTGTGTGAGAGAGAGAGAGAGAGAGAGAGAGAGAGAGAGAGAGAGAGAGAGAGAGAGAGAGAGTGTGTGTATCTCAAATTTGACTCCCAAAGGCAAGAGCCTTGGGAAGCTTGGGAAGATGGCACTCGCTCAGAGCACCCCCCCTAAGTGCCACTCACCTTCCCGCTCAATCTCAAACGCACTCGTGGCATCTTCTGGTGTGAGGCAGCGGAATTCATTGGCAGGGAGCGTGTGGCGCCGCTGGCAGCCTAGGAACTCTGAGGTCCCAAGTGGCAGGTGCAGGGCCTCAGGTTTCAGGGGGTGGATGTTCCACATGGGCATCTGGCCACTGAACCCTCCCTGGGGTTCCCCAGCTTAAGAAGTGGTCCCTTAGCACCTGTCAGAGAAGAGAGTCTACCTTCATTGCAAAGACGAGTCAGGCGTCTCTTGGGATAGAGCCAATCCCCAGGTGCCTGAACCTCATGGCAAATTCCAGGAGCTTGCAGTGTTAGCATGATTTCTTCTCTTTCACTCATGAGCTAGAGGTCTTGGAGCAGTTGGTCAAAGCTCCAGAATCTGAATGCCCTCCAGCCTTGGGAGACTGTGGACGCTATAACCATATGTGGGCACCCTACTCTAAGAGGGCAGCAGAGCAAAAGATCATGAACCTCCATCCTCTTCTTCTGAACCTGTGGGGTGGACAGGCTCCCAGGCCCCTCATGCCTCCAGTCATGTGGCTACTGCCAGTCATGTGACTTGTCTCACCCAGAAGGAGACTTCTTGTCTTCTGAGTAAGACAGTATGGCCAAGAGGTTTTTTTTTCCCCCATTTTTGTTTTTTTAAAGGAAATGTGTGTGTCTGTGTATCTGTGTGTGGCTACGTGCGCAAGCCTCCTGAGGCGATGCATCTCAGGGAGCTAGAGCCACAGGTGGTTGTGATCTCCCCACTGTGGGTGCTGGGGACTGAAGAGGAACTCATACACACTGTTAATCTCTGGGCTGTCTATCCTCTCCGAAGCTGAGAGCTTTTTAGGTTGTCTTAGACCTTAGTCCGGGAGAAAAAGCTCTTTAATTAATGTGAGCCTGACGTCAGACTAGGTCATGCTGCAGAGATGGGGGATAAGATGGTTAAAGAGCCTAGGACTGGAGAGTCTGAGGTCAGGAGGGTCAAGTGTGGAGGACACTCAGGTGACATGCCTGTCCCATCAGCTTAGGCACATAGAACATGCCGGTGCAATACCCTCTTTCTCGTGACATGACACCCTACAAGCGGTGATCCTTAGAGGATGTCTTCTATCCCTCAGCCTTCAGAAAGGGCTGAGGAGTTCAGGTGAGATGGCTCAGCAGGTAAGGGACTTTCCACCAAGCCTGAGAAGCTGAGTTTGACCCCAGGGACCCACATGATAGAAGGAGAGAACTGACTCCTGCAGGGGCCCTCTGGCTTCTACATGTGTGCACCGCACATGCACGTAAGATAAGTAATTAGAATGGAATGCAGATGTTCCTTTAAGATGGGTGATGCTGAGAGCACAAGGGTGAGGACCTAAGCATGAGCCTCGGAACATGAATAACCCGGTGCAGGGCCCATCACCCAGCATCTGTATCACAGGACCGAGACACAGGGTCGAGCAAATCCCTGGGACTGTCTCCTCTAGCAAACCCAACCCCCAAGAGACAAAGTAGACAGTTCCTGCAGTTCCCAGAGAATGACACCCAAAGCTAACCTCTGGCCTCTACACACACACATACACACACACACACACACACACACACACACACATATATTCACATACATACATACATGCACACATACATGCATGTACATACACAAATATATGCATACAGATATACATGCACATACACACATGCACATATACACATGCATGTGCACACACACACTCATATATATATACATATATATACACACATACATATATATACACACACACACACACACACACATACATATATATATGCATAGAACCAGGGATGGGGCCCACTTACCAGAACTGTAAGAAGGAGCCCAGGTGTCCCCACCACAGAGCCAGTCACCCTGGGGCTGTCACCGGATGCAGGAACTAGGAGAACCTGAGACTCCTGCCTGCAAGGGAGCTGTAGCACATACTCACTCTGCCGGCATGTGATGGCTCAGAGATTCTAATCCCCCTGGCCCTGCCTCCCATGTTACCCCAGGCAGTATGATGCCAGCAGGACTTGGCAGTCAGGCCTTGGCCCCATCCTGCCGAGGGCAGGCGTCATCAGTGGCACTGAGGACGTAGAAAGAATTACTAGCAGCCATCTCAGGCTATAGGGAGAGCATTAAGCCTGGGGGGGGGGGTCTAACTGTAATCCTTGCTCTGTCCCCAGATGGCTGGGGACCAGCCACTCCCCTCTGTCCCTCAAAGGCCAGTTTGTCCATGCCTCTGAGGGTCCTTCCTGGTCAGGAAGCCTGCGATCCCTTATAGCTACATACCTGGGAAGGTGGCTTCTACATTCCAGGGTATCCTACCGGGCGAGTATAACTGTCCATTTTACAGAGGAGGAAACTGAGGCTCTGCTCCATCACTTGAGGGGCCCCAGTCAGGTACCAGGAGAGCAGGGAGGTCCCTAGAAACAGTTTTCACAGCCTCCAGAGTAGAAACATCTCAATACCATCAACCAAAGAAAGAACTGTGGGTCTGTACACAATGTCACAGGGGGGCACCATCATGTAGCATCCAGAAAGAGACCAACACAGTGGTAACGGGAGGCAGAACGCAAGAAACACGTGGTAGCTTCTAGTTCAACATCTAGTCCAGATCTCAGGACCTGACTGCTGGCTGCTCAGGGAAAAGACCTGAGGGACACTGGCAAGGGGACTGTGGAGTTGGACAGCGGTAATTCATGCAGCCATCTCTATGTATGCTATGCTCAACATCTTCTTAAAGATCCCCGACTACCATCTCAGTGCCAACCATGCCAGCGCTGGGACCTTCAGCACCTCCAAACTCTCTGTCCCTCACACGAGTCTGGTTTTCCCCTTCTCTTCCCACTCACATTTTTCCTGCTTCCCTTAGCTAGTCTCTGGCCAGCTCCTCTTACCATATGCTCCCCTGCTCCACCGAGGCACTGTAGCTCTTTGTCCGCATCAGCTGTCCTTGCCAGCTCAAGGCACTGAGCCAGGAGCAGCATTCCCTGAAGCCACCAGCAGAGGGTGCACCTGCTAGGACCTATGAGCCTCATAGAAGGATGCAGTTCCAACTTTGACCCTTGGGGGGCAGGGCAGGGCCAGTACAAACACTACCGCACCCACACATTCTGCTATCTGTGCTATCTCTTCCCCCAGAGCCCTCTGCTGTCTGATGCTCCAGGACCTCTCATTTTTGCCTTAAATGCATGCTCCCTGGACGTTTCTGTCTTTCCTCTGCAGGACTTCTCATGGACTTCTCATGACTGATCAAAAAGCCCTTCTTAGGCTGAGCCCTTGGGCCTGGTGGGGGACACACTCAGAACCTCAGCTAGGCACCCATACTGTGTCTGTGTCACTCTTAGCTGGTTCCTTTGCACCCCATGGCAACCATCTGTTGATGCCCACAGTTGTATGGTCTGCATTCTTGTTCCTTGACCATCCTTGCGGCTGGGTACCTTCAGGAAAACACCTCTAAACACAGTGACCCCCTGAACACAGGAAAGGAAAATGTAATGGTAATCTGGAGAATCCCAGCCTGCACCAGGCAAGAGAGGGAAGTGGAGGGGAGGGAAGGTGATGGCGAGGGTCTCTTCCAGCCAATAGGAAGAAAGCACACTACAGACTTGGGCACATGGGTCCACTGCTTACCTAGCCCAGCACTGCATATACTTGGTGTGGTAGCACAGGCCTGGATCCCAGCACGCAGGAGGGGAGGCAGGATCAGGAGTTTAAGGTCATGATGAGTTACACAGTGAGTTTAAGGGCAGTCTTTTTTTAAAAAAAAGATTTTATTTATTTATTTATCTTATGTATATGAGTACACTGTAGCTAGCCTCAGACACACCAGAAGAGGTCACCAGATCCCACCACAGATGGTTGTGAGCCACCATGTGGCTGCTAGGACTTGAACTCAGGACCTCTGGAAGAACAGTCAGCGCTTCCAACTGCTGAGCCATCTCTCCAGCCCCCAGGGCAGTCTTAGTTACAACTACTGACAGAGACAGAGGTGGGAGGAGAGGAGAAGAGAAGGGGAAGGAGAGCAGAGGGAGAGGGACAGGGGGAGGGGGAGGGAGAGGGAGAGGGAGAGGAGAGAGAGAGAGAGAGAATGAATGAATGAATGAATGAATGAATGAATGAATGAATGAAAGAGGGAAAGCAGGTTGATGGGGACAAAGATCAGGAAGCCCTCAGTATCCAGAGGGAGCCTGTCCATTTCTAGTCCCAAACAGGTGGAATGAGACTTCACCGAGACTTTTCAGAATACCCAAATTGTCTCCCACCTCCAGAGGCTGCCCCTCTCTAGAGACCGTGATTACACTGGCCTGACCTTAGCTTTTATGTGAGACTGCCGGATTGTTTTTTGTTTCTTTGGTTGGTTGGTTGGTTGGTTTTTCGAGACAGGGTTTCTCTGTATAGCCTGGGCTGTCCTGGAACTCACTCTGTAGACCAGGCTGGCCTCGAACTCAGAAATCCACCTGCCTCTGCCTCCCAAGTGCTGGGATTAAAGGTGTGTGCCACCACCGCCCGGCCTGTTTTGTTTTTAATTTAGGTTAAAATTGTTATGTGTGTGAGTGCATTGCCTGCATGTCTGCTGCACATTCGTGCCTGGTCCTCTCAGAGGACAGGAGGAAGCACCATATCTGCTGGAATTGGAGTTACAAGCCGTTATGAGCCTTGTTGAGGTGTCAAGACCTGAACCCACGTCCTCTGTGCTCTGAACCATTAAAGTCATCTTCAGATGGAAAGCCGACTTTCCAGCTCCTTATTTGGTTTCTTCCTCCTCTTCCTCCTCCTCTTCCTCCTCCTCTTCTTCCACCTCCTCCTCCTCCCCCTCTTCTTCCTCCTCTTCTTTTTCTTCCCTGGCTGTCCTGGAACTCACGATGTACACCATGCTGGCCTCCAACCTGGAGATCCACCTGACTTTGCCTCTCAGCTGCTGGGTGTAAAGGTAGCCACCACCACCCAGCCCTTACTTGGTTTCTGAAGGTGGGTCTTAAATAGTCTAGGGTGGACTCAAACTTGTGCTGTAGCTGAGGACGACCTTGAACTTTGATCTGCTTCCACTCCCATTTCAAATGGGATTACAGGTGTGTGCTACCATGCCTGGCTTGGGTTTCCTTTTGGTTTGGTTTGGTTTTGAGACAGGGTTTATCTGTGTGGCCCTGGCTGTCCTG